GATACAAAAGGCCTCTATTTAAAGAGGTTAAATGACCTAATGGGCCAAGCCCAAATAACCTGCTAGAATAACAAAATAATGAATAATACAATGATATTTAATATTATATTATTTCTAACACTCCCCCTCAAGTTGGTGCGTATATATCATAAGCTCCCAGCTTGTTACATATTTGATCTATTCAGGGATCTCTAAGAGCCTTGGTGAAAACATCTGCAAGTTGATCACTGGAATTGACAAATGTTGTTTCAATCTCTCCTGCTGAATCTTCTCTCTAACAAAGTGACAGTCAATCACTATATGTTTGGTCCTCTCATGAAAGACTGGGTTAGAGGATATATGCAATGCTGCTTGATTGTCACAAATAAGCTTCATGGGCTGCTGTTCACAGAGGTGTAGTTCCTTAAGCAATTGTTTAGCCAGATGAGCTCACAGGTTGCATTTCCCATTGCCCGATATTCTGCCTCTGCACTTGACCTTGCGACCACAATTTGCTTCTTACTCTTCCAAGAGATCAAGTTTCCTCCAAGAAGAACACAATACCCCGAGGTGGATCGTCTGTTTGAAGGAGAACCTGCCCAGTCAGCATCTGAATAGCTAGATACCTTTGCATTCCTTTTATTTGTGTATAATAAACCTTTTCCTGGTGCTCTTTTGATATATTGAAGAATCCTGATAACTGCATCCCAATGGGAGTCACAAGGAGAGTCAAGGAATTAACTTGCCACACTAACTGCAAAAAAGATGTCTGGTCTTGTCACAGTAAGACAACTTTCCAACTAATTGGCGATAACGACCAGGGTCAGCCAATGGCTCCCCCTGTCCGGGTAACATCTTAACATTAGGATCCATAGGTGTATCAATAGGTTTACATCCCAACATACCAGTCTCATCTAAGATATCCAGTGCATACTTCCTCTGACAAATGGAGATGCCCTGCCTAGACTGTGCCACTTCGATCCCTAAGAAATATCGAAGTCTGCCAAGATCTTTGGTCTGAAACTAATTGAATAAGTACTTCTTTAACTGATCAATCCCAACTTGATCGCTGCCAGTAATAATGATGTCATCAACATAGACCAGGAGATAGATGCACTGGCCAGAAGAGTTATGCTTATAGAAGACAGAATGATCGACTTTACTTCTGGTTAAGCCAAAGGATTGAATAGCAGAACTGAAGCGACTAAACCAAGCCCGAGGGGACTGCTTCAGGCCATATAAAGATTTACGAAGCTTATATACCATTCCATAATATACTTCCTCTTGCAAGTCACCATGTAAGAATGCATTTTTTATATCAAGTTGTAGAAGAGGCCATTGATGAATGGCAGCAAGTGCAAGAAATAGGCGAACAGATGCAATTTTGGCAACAGGAGAAAAAGTATCCCCATGGTCAAGACCAAATATTTGAGTGTATCCCTTGGCCACCAAACGAGCTTTGAGGCGATCAATAGTGCCATCAGGACCAACTTTGACAGTGAATACCCATCGACAACCGACTTGGCTTTCCAGGAGGAGCATGAACAAGATCCTATGAGCCATTGAAGTGAAGTGCTTGCATTTCATCAATCATCGCCTGACGCCAACCCGGATGAGATAGTGTTTCACCTGTGGTTTTAGGAATAGAAACAGACGAAATACTATAAACAAAAGTAAAATGTGGTGAAGAAAGTCTATTCATAACTCAAGAAACTATAAAGTGGATGAGGATTACGAGTGGATCGAATACCTTTGCGAAGGGAAATGGGAGTAATCTCTGATGGAGGATCCGGAGGGGAAGAGTCGACAGCAGTAGGCAATGAGTCAGTAAGGGTCAAATCCGCTGGAGGCGCAGTCAGACGACGCTGATAGGTGAAAAAAGGACTGTCCTCAGGGATGGAGGCAAGGGGCCGCTCCTCCGGGATAGAGTCTCCTGCAACTGGTAAAGACAAATCAAGACAAGGAATAGGAAGAACTTGATCAACTTGTGTTATCTGAGACGGGATCGAATGAAAAGGTTGTTGATCAAGAAAAGTCATCAGCCGAGACAATATAACGCTTGAGATCAGGAGAGTAGCAACGATACCCCTTTTGAAAACGAGTATATCCAAGGAAAATACACTTGAAGGCTTTGGATGTTAATTTATCTTTTCCTGGAGTTAGATCATGAACAAAGCAGGTACATCCAAATACATGTGGAGGTAAAGGATAGGAAGGTGCTCCCGGAAATAAAACACTATGTGGAACTTCATTATTGAGTACAGAAGAGGGCATGCGATTGATGAGAAAGCAAGAGGTGACTATAGCATCTGCCCAAAAACGAAGTGGAACATTCATATGAATTAGTAGGGTACGAGCAGTTTCAACCAGATGTCTATTCTTACGTTCGGCCACTCCATTTTGTTGTGGAGTGTGTGAACAAGTGGTCTGATGTAACGTCCCATGTTTCTCCAAAAAAATTAGAAAATTCAAGAGACACATATTCTTTTGCATTATCACTGCGCAAGATTTGAATAGAAGCACCAAATTGAGTATTTATCTCAGCACAAAATTTTTGATAAATCAAAAATAATTCATAACGATTTTTCATTAAATAAACCCAAGTACAATGAGAGAAATCATCAATAAAGGTTACAAAATACTGAAAACTCAAAACAGACATTGTTCGACTCGGACTCCAAATATCAGAATGAACAATAGAAAAGGGAGCATCAGCTTTTTTATTGACTCTATTAGCAAAGGAGGAGCGAGTGTGCTTTCCTTGCTGACAAAACTAACAGCTTAAAGACTTAAGACTTGATAAAAAAGGAGGGTACTTCCTATAGCAGCGTTCTTCAAAATGCCCAAGATTCTGGCAATAATTGCAACGAGGCCTCTGTCCGCGGCCACCCTGTCCACGGCCACGTCCGCGACCGCGTCCACTGTTCCAATTGGAATCACTGGCACGAGAAAAGAACGCAGTGGAATCGGTAGCTAGCACATGTGTGGGAGCTGTTGATTTATCCTTAAGATTCAGAAGGCGCTGAAAAGTGTGTGACAGGCTATAAGTCTCAGCACTTGTTAGAATATTTTCACGAACACTTTCTAACTCTTCTGAAAGACCGGAGAGGATCACGACCATAAAGAACGCTCCACCTGCTTCTTGTATGCAGAGGCATCTGCAGCATGAGGTAACATAGCTAAGAATTCTTGCATCAAAGAACGAATCTTACCAATATAAGTCTCCATTCGAGATTTTGGTGATTTGCGCAATTCCATTATCTGAGAAACAATGGAATAAAGCTCCTGAATGTCATTGGTGTAGAGGTTTTTAGCTTCCTCCCATAGGTCATAGCAGGTCTCAAAAGGGATGAAAATGTCTATAATTGTCGGATCAATGGACTGCCAAAGGATACTTAGCAGTAGAGCATCAACCTTTTCCCATTCAGATGTCTGATCCTTTGAAATATCAGCAGACTTAGTTGTGAGATGTTTTCCGTATCCCTGACCAGTAAACCAGATCTTAACTGGGTAGACCAGGTCTTGTAAGTAGCAGATCCGGTCAGTTTCATCGTTGTAATGGATGGGGTAGTACTGGAAATGATGCCAATAGTGTTTTTGGACACATTACCTGAGCCCTCCATCACAAAACAACAACAAAAAAAGATGACCAGATCTGAAAATAGGAGAGGAAGACGAGTTGTTCTATCTCGGAATGGCCGAAAAAAGATGCGTGAACAGTACCTGTATGGACACGGTGAACAGTACCTGCACGGATGATGAACAGTGTTTTTGCACGGACGATGAATAGTGTTTTAGTGCAGACGAAACAGTTATTCTGTACGGACGTTAACAGTGATTTTGTACAGATTGTACGAACGTGAACAGTGATCTATACGGACGCGGTGAACAGTGAGGCACGAACAGTAACGTCGATGAATAGTACCGTGTTAACAGTGTAGAACCAAGCCGGAGGGACGCACGGCGTTAGAGAAAGGAGAGAACGCCTAAGCAGTGGGCTTAGGGTTTTAGCGGAAGCGAAAATTCCCAGAACAAAGAGCTCTGATACCAAATTAGAATGTATGAATGTGTTGTATTCAATTGTATATTGAATTGTACAAAAGACCTCTATTTAAAGAGGTTAAATGACCTAATGGGTCATGCCCAAATAACCTGCTAGAATAACAGAATAATAAATAATACAATGCTATTTAATATTATATTATTTCTAACAGACGTCAAAGGGGTCATTGAGGTCGTAGGAGCCATCTCCAATGCACATGTTGTAAACGATTAGGCTACACTCAATATTTGCTATTCTCTTCATGAATTGAAGTTTGGAAATGTTGATCATACAAAGTTGTACTGTGATAATCAAATGACTTCAAATATTGTGTCAAATCTAGACTATTACGAGAGGACCAAGCAAATAGAAATTAATTGTAAATTTATCAAGAACAAAGTTTTCTCCAAGGATATCCTTACAAAGTCTATTTGGGATCCTTGAATCCACGTCATTGGTACATATGATTTGCATACTCCAGCTTGAGAAAAAGTGTTGAAAAGTATCCCCTATTTAGGAAAATTGTCTCCTATTAAGGGGTTGTATATTCAACTATATAGTTTGTGTAAACCATTAGAATTTCACTTATATTATTTTCCTAATTTCCTAGTTTCCTAACATTAGAGATTGTGAATATGTAAATATAATTAATCATGCAGAGTATTTCCTTATGCAATTAAGAAATCCTTTCATCCTTCTCAAGACCTCCTTCGAAGATTTCCAGTGTCAAACTCAAGATATCCTTCGAAGATCATGTCAATGAACCCTTATGAACTAGCCAAAAAAATTCAGAATTTCACAACTAGCGAAAATGCATACACAACCAGTCCATATAAAATACCTACTAATGAACAGGAAAGGTTCAGAAAAAGACCAACGAACCAGAACAACTGCTTTTCTTCAACAACAACAAAAAAAAATTGTGCATGAAACAGAAATAATACCAAAAAAAAAATTTGGTATTCTAAATTAGGCATACCTTCATCGTTTGATGCTAAAAAATTTTCTAATATCCGGGAAATCTGAACCCTTTTGGACTCAATGACAATGAAATTCTGATGCTGAGGTGGCTCTGCCTCCTCTTTCTTATGAGATTCCTTCAGTCTGGCAACCTGAATCAAAACAAAATAAAAGTAGTATCAGGCAGAATGAGACAAATATATGCAAGAATACTCGAAGACTTGAAGCCAAAGGAGCTGTGTCCCAATACCTGATTTGATTCTTCAGAAAATGTGACATGAGGAAGACTCTCCAACAAGGCAGTGCTGTCAACATCCTTTTTTGTTTTGTGAATAGATACTTTTTGTTTAATCCCATGCCTACACAAAATGCAGGTTCAATATCAAAAATACAAAATGTGAAACTGAAAAGAACACATTGCCTTGGTAACTGAATATTTCCAGACATGTGAATATAATTCTTAGAAATTTAGAAGCGAGTTCTGTATATGCTCCACTAAGAACTCACCAAGAAAGTGTATAAATAAGCCCCATTTTTTGGCAAAATTGATACACTAAACCACGTTCTTCGCTAGACAATTTAGTTTCAAAATTGTACACTGCAAAAAAATAAATAAATAAATAAAATCCAGATCACAAATGCATATGGATAATATATTAAATGTGCATAAGCAATACAAAGTATAAGCTGGGCAGTCATACTTATAAGGTTTTCGGTGTGTATGAGCCCTTATGAACTAGCCAAAACGATTTGAAATTTAACAATACTAACTAGTCAAAATGCAAACCCAATCCAAATCAAACACCCAATTCACACACCTAAAAAAATGTTCAAATAAACACCAATGAATCATACAAACTGTATTTCTTTGAAAGACAAATGCAGCCGATATCACATTTTCTGCATGAAACAGATAAACAACACACACACACAAAAAATTATGGGTATTCTGAGTTAGTCTCACCTTCATCAGTTGAAGCTAAAAAATTTCCTAATATTTGGGAAATCCAAATCCTATTGAGTTCATCAACAATGGGATCTTGAACCTGAGATGTACTTGACTCATCTCTGTCCTTCCTTTTCTTTGACATGACAGCCTGAATCCAAACAAAGTGTATGTATAGCCTCAGAGACAAATTAAACAAGTAAATACAAGACCTCTCAAAAGACTTGAATCTAAAAGTGCTGTGTCCCAATACCTGACTTGCCTCTTCAATTTCCTTTATGTAAACACATATCTTCCGTTCATTCCCACTCCTACACAAAATGCAGATTCAATATCAAGAAACCAAAATGTAAAACTGAACAAGCAAAGCAAATTACACTAGCAACTATTCCATTCCAAACATTAGACTACAATTCAGTACTCACCCACTAAATCTAGTACCTAACCCCATAAGGCTGCATATTCTGACCACTATACCGCGTTCTTCACTGGACAAGTTACCTTGCAATTTGAACACTGTAGACAAAACACAAACCATGAATGTATAATGTATAATAAATACAATCTGCATAAGCTATACAAAACAATTATATGCAATATAATCACCCTTAAGAAGAAAGTTTAAAAAAAAAAAAAATACTAATCATTCTTCTTCATACAATAAAGTGAATCAACAAAATAACATTCTTTCTCGATGTTTGAAAAATTAAATCGAACAGCACACATAATTTACATTTAAATCAGGGACTAAACTAGAACTAATGCCAGTTTAATAAACTTTATAATAATAACCTTTAAATCAGCACATTGAAAAATTAGTTGAGTTGTTAGGAAAAAAATTATAATTAAAAAAAATAAAATGCACCGCATGTTATATTTCAGCACGAAATAGATAAACAGTACCATATATAAGGGTATTGAAAGTTAGGTTCACCTTGATCGTTTGAAGCAACAAAATCCTTCAAAATCTTCAAATATTTTTCTAAGAGAATCCTTGTGGGTTCATCAACGAAGGGGTTTGGAAGCTGCTGAGATGGTCCTGCCTCTTCTATGTTCGCCATAAACAACAACCTTAATACAAACGAAGTGGAAGAAGAATAACCAGCGTCACGCGCGACCAACACTTCACAACCTAGTACTTTATGCTTTGGCGCGCGGCTCTTGATTTTTCTTATGTTAGTTTTCGTTTGCCCTCTTTTTTTCTATGCAACACCATAGTTCCTAGCATGATTTTTCTTAAGAAGTGGGAGTGGCTTATTAGAGTTTGGATTAGGTGCGTATTTCGCACAGCAAAAAGTTATACTTATTGTTATCAAAAAAAAAAAAAATTATACTTATTATTATTATCTGTTTCCTTATTATCTCTTATTATTAAATTTTAATTATTGATTTTCATGAATCTAACTATTATAATTTATTTAGTTATATTTATTAATTAATTATTAATTTTTAATAAATTATAATCTTTAGATTGACAGAAATTAACGGTTAAGATTTGGTAGTAAGAGATAGTAAGAAAAAGAGGTAAAAAAAATAACTTTTCCCTATTTAGTATTTAATAATTTAACAAAAAAATAAAGCTAAACTTATAATACCCATTAATTTTGCAAAGAAACATAAGATATTCTAAATGTTTATATTAAACTCAATAAAATCGTAATCGTAATCTAACGAATCTAATAGTTGGAATTCAAAATGCAATGCAACGTAACCTTTGAATCTTTTTGAGTCTTTGCAACAACGAGTATTGGAGTGTCGGGAAGTGTCGAAATGTCAGTGAGTGTTTAAAAATATCAGATACAATACGTCAGGATTTTTGAAGTGTCGGTGCTTCATAGATGTTGACAATAAGGCTTGTCGGGCTTATTAATGTTAAGGTAAAATTGACTTGTGCGTTAGTTATGAACCTAAATTTGGATAGTAACAAAGTTGATATCATAATTTAGGTTTAATCCAATAAATAACATAGCCCTATTCTCATCCTTGTGGGAGAATGAAATAAGCCATGATTGTGGAAGAATACTATAACAATATCCTTATTGTCAAATTAAGTGGAAATAGAATTAAGTAAGGGTTTAAGGAAATTAAACATGTATTCAAGAATATAGTGAAATATAAATTATGTGATTAACATGAAAATTTATATAAGGTCAGAGTTCATGTCATACAAGTCTAATGGAATCCAAATATAAGTATGGAATATGTTTGAGGACATAGATTTGAATAAAGTAAAATATTAGGGTTGGTTTGGTAATTAACCAAAACATGAATTAGATGTTTTAATTAAATTGTATGATATATCTCATAGGTTAGAAGTGATCTTATTTTGATCAAATAATATCTAGATTAATTATTAAAATTAGGTCAAAGTAGTTAGTTAAACAAAGATAGGTCAAAGTCTTTACAAAATGCAATTGTGCAGCTTTTTTTTTAACACACAAATTTGATTCCTATATGTATAATCAAGGTGATGATGCCACATCAACACAGTTTTGATGATAACAAACAAGCTTCAAGAGAAAATTAAAAAGCTTTAAAGAAGCAACATTCAAAAAGAATCAAAGCCTACGTGAAAGCAATGCAAAATCATGCATCAAGTCTCAAATCATGAAGCTAAGTCCAAGATCACATTAGAATATATATTTAGGACTTAGTACAATATGTAAAAGTGTATGCTAGGTAACATTGCATGAGCTCAAGTCATTCACATTATTGCATAATCATAAAGTGCTTTAAAACCTTGGTTTTATAAGTGAAAATTGCATCAAAAGGTTTTTAACTTAATTTGAGCACACAAACAGCCTTGCACAACCTAGTCACACATGTTCACACTCTTGAAAACCTATTTGCACTTGAAAGAATGCATCTTGAACACTAAGTATTGAAAAAGGACAATTTGAATGGTATAATGTGTCAAAATGAGTTTTGAATGATATTCGCATGAGTTGAATACTAAGAAACATTATCCATACTCAATTACATGTGTGCAAAGCATTAAAAGTCATTTTGTATTAAGAGAATTCAATAATTCGTGCAAAAAGGTTGCAATCTTAAAATATCTGAATATTCATTTTTCAATATTCGGACAGGGCCCGAGAAATATCTAGATATGTATGAACGACAACGGTTGTAAACAACTAGTTTTTATTTGGGGGGCCTATATAAGTATTTGTTCTGTTCATATGGTGGTTGGACGAAATTATGTCATTTATTGATCTATTAATACTCCTCTTAACTTATTCTTGCTCATTGATTACATTCTTTGATCATTATCATATACACTTGAGCTCATCATTGTTTAAGCTATATACCTATTAGTTCTTCAAGTTGTAATATCTGCACTTTGAGAGTGTGTATCCTTACTTAAACACTTCCACTTGATTTCTTATTTGAGAAGGTAGTGAAATCCCTTGTTCTTGAGAGGTTACCAAATAGCTAAGAAATTTTGGAGTGAAAATCGTAAGGCACCAAGAGCCCAAGGTTTTGGAGAAAATTATAGCATTTTGTCAAGCACCCTTGAAGCTTGACCGATAGTGGAAAAGTTGATCTTGCGGCTTCAGTTTGGACGTAGGTCACGGTGGTGGTGACTGATGTAAAAACTCACACTATTAAATAATGAAATAAATAAATTTAATAATGAAAGATTAGGAATTTATGGAAAATATTCCATAATTAACTTAGAATAATTATAGAAGAATATTTTGAGAAAATAAAATCTTTTTTTTGGAAGAAAAGTGTAGTTACTGTGAAATTCGCGGTATAAATGTGTACTGGCGAAGTAACTCAAAAAATTAAAATTAAAATATGAATATTTCTAGAATATTTACTAATTTAATAATACAAAGTTTGAAAGAAAAATGATTAACAGTGGTATTAGAACTAATATCGGGTGTTTTATGTGAGTCACCATAAATAGCAAAAAGTAACTCAGTCACCCTTATTTTATTTCCTTCCTACGTAGAACACTTACAAAAAAAAACCTAGAGAGCTCTTCACTCCTTCTCCAAGCAAGATCAAGCTTCCTACATCAAAAATGCTCAAAGTCTTCATCTTTTAAAACTTTTCTTCCTTGTGTTCACTAGAAAACCTTTAAAGCTTGTGTAATGGCAAGGAAAAACTCCATCTTTGAGTTACTTAGATTCTGCCATTGAGGGTTTGTGAGTTTTCCATAATCAACTTGCTATTTGTGACCTTCCACCCTCATCCTTCATCATCAAGAAGCTTCCTTTTGGGAGAAAGAAGCAAGCTTCCTCAAGTAGATTTCGTGCAACTTCTTGGACAGTAGCTTGGAGCTGTAGCAAGGCTTCCAAAGTCTCTTCTCTTTGCTATCTTCAAGCATTGATACACTCTACCCTTTTCTCTTAATTTTCTAAGAAAAAGATGAAATTGTGGTCATGTAAAAAGAGAAACTTTAAGGGATTAAGTGTAAAACTGATAATCTAAGTGTGAGTGAGTTGTTTGGACTTATGTAAGTATAAAGATCGAAGTGGAACCTTTGGAAACCATTGGAATGGCAATTATGCAGTAAAAATATGGCTTTTTGCATTCTGTTGATGATTTAATCGATTAGGCCCCATGGTTTAATCGATTAAACCCTGACGGAATACAGTAATCGATTACAACAGCAACCTAGTTTAGTAAAATTACGATATCTCTAGCTACAAAGCTCTAAATTGAGTGAGGTTTAGACCTATGTAAAGCTAACACATACAACTATGATCTTGTAAAATTTAGTAGCCATTGGGTATGTGTTTAGATTGAGGTGTTAGTTTGAATTCGCATCTTGGTTGTTGAAAATTCATTTTACAACAATCACTTTGCGAAAAACATAACCGGAGTTATACAACTTCAATTGAGACGTATAATATGTCATTGGAAAGCTTGTGATGTCTAGTTTAACATAATAAAATCTTACGATTTTTGGTAAAGATTTGCAATACCAGTTTTAAATATTTTAAATACAATTTTGTGCTTGGGGTTTTGGAAGAAGCCTACAATCACAAAACGAAAAAGAAAATGTAGTCCAAATGTCATGAAATTATAGAATCTAATTATTAATGGTATGTTTGACATTAAACAAATTGTACTTGCCAGATTGTGTGACTATGGGTGATCCTGTTGATACTGAGTTATTGTAAAGAAAGAATGGCTAAATAACAACACAATAGGGGGTGAATTGTGTTTTAAACTTTTTTGAATTAAACAAAGAAAATTAAAACCCCTTTTTAAAGAAAGCATGCAAGAGACATTTAACAAATAATAAAAATTCTCAATCCCTTAAAACAAATTCATATTATCAAAAATAAAGAATAAAAGAAGAGTAATATGCAGCGAAAATAAAAAAGTAAGGGAAGAGAAGATAACACTGGATATATCCTGGTTCACTCTCCAACACAAAGAGCTACATCCAGACTGAGGCTGATCGTTCCACTATCATCAAGCTTTCAACCGGTGCTTGAAGAAACCATTTTACAAGAGAAATTTTACAAAAGTTGTGATCTACGTGATCACCCTTAACCTAAACCTTAGGATCACTCCTCTTGAACCAAACCTCAATTGGAATTTTACAAGACTGTGATCAATCCCTTGATCACTCTTAACCTATGCCCTGGGATCACTCTTAAACTATACCCTAGGATCATTTCAATTGAACCAATCATAGCATAACTACCTCCCCAAATTCAGAATTACAAAAGAAATCAAAAGAAAAAGATGAAGAGAATACGAAGATATTGAGCTCTCTCAAAGTATGCAAAATAAGCCTAGATGAGTATGATTCTTGGGTTCTAAGTGTTTCAATGTGTTTTTCTTCTTAATTCTTGAAGAGCTATGAATAAGGACTCAGGGTATGGTATTTATAGACTTTTTCTCAAAATCAAGTCCTAAGAAAAATTCTCTAGATTTATGCACTAGATATTGTATCATAATTTTTAAGAAAACTTTCTAAAATATCTTTTTGAAAATAAAATCAAAATCTTCAAATTAACTTTCCAAAATTAGATAAAATCAAATCAAATCTTTAAAAAATGAAATCAATCTCAAATCAAAAAAACAAATATAATCAAATCTTTAAAAAAGAAATTAATATCAAATTAACTTTTTCTTTTTCAAATCAAAAACGAAATCAAATCAAATCTTTCAAAAATTAATATCAAGTTGATTACTTAATCCTTTTTCAAAATAATGCATGT